TTGTTGCGCTGTGTAGTCTGGTCGATGTTAACCAACGTTTCAGAGGTCATACTGCCTCCATCATCAGGGCGATGAATATGTATCAGTATTCTATCTGTGGCCATGGTCGACACTACTGTGCAGGCCCACTCAGTCGTGCATGCGGTTTCACTGATTAGCCCCTCAATTTTTACTCTAGGAACTACAAATTAAGACCTCATTACCTGTCACTCAGAAAATCCACAGGCATTTAATTTAATTTTTAAAGTATTTCCAGTATGCGTGTAAATTTGTGGGAACGCAACCCTCACACATAATGGAGGTCATCTGTGTAGTAAATGGCTAGGAATGCTGCACACAGCATAAAGCAAGTAATGATGACTACCTGTTCTGGTTTTAGAGACCATACAGTACAGTCCCGATTGGACCTGGTCGATCTGGCCGGATCAGAGGGTGTTCGTCACACTGGTAGTCGGGGAGTGGCCCTAAATGAAGCAAAGAACATTAACACTGGGTTATTGCATCTTCGCAATGTTATATCAGTTCTTTCCAAGAATACAGAGGATCATATCCCTTACAGATCTTCCACCTTGACTACTGTATTAAAAGGTAAGTAGAAGCCATGAAAATGAACTTTGAGATTAGAGCATTCTGGATTTTGTATTACTAGTGTGTTCAAAAGAATGCTCTTGTACAAACTTCCACCATAAACAAGAAAGGCAGTGCATTCAAGAAATTATAATCTGAGAACTACTTTTTCTTGTATGGCGCAACAGCCCGAAGTCGAGCCTTGGCCTCCTCCCATGTGGGAGGTTTCTTTGTGTTTTGAAGTGTGCATTTATGAGTGATAAGCCCACTGTCTCTGCACAATTTGTACTCAGTCCTGATTTTGTCTGCTAGAGCCATCTAGTAGTGAATCAGGAGAGACTTGGGTGAGAAATGGCTGCTCAATTTTGCTTACAAAACATCTTGTTCATGCTCGTAAGGTTCTTTTACATACCGTAAATCTATGAAGTGGGACCGCCGGCTTTAGTTCCCCCTCAAAGGAAGTTGTGCTGCGATTTTTTATCACCCTTAAAAATACATCGACCTTGGCCGGGTTTGAACCTGCGAACCTTGGGTCCAGTGGCGAGCTCGCTAACCACTAGTCCACCGAGGGTGACAATATGAGAACTAACAACAGTGCAATTTACAAAGGAGGAAAAAAATAAGTGCAGACTCCAGACATCAGCAGTATATGAACACTTTGTGGACAAATTTTTGCGACTCCATGTTTGATTATTATACTGGAGATTAGTAATATTACAGTGGTGTTGTTTTGTTGTGTGTCATTGTTTTGTTGTGTCTTATTGTTTTTAAAATAATTATTATATTTGTTTACCGTCAAATCACAATAAAATAGTAAGATAAGATAATTAAAATGATTAAAATATCATCTTATGTTCCATATCGGGCATTCGATTTACATCGGAACATTCACAACATGTTTCGGTTTATCAAACCGTCATCAGGTGTAAATTATAAATTTTTAAACTCAAATTACAATTATTTATAGTTTTACAATTTTATACTTTTATCATCTTTCTCAGTATATTTTTTGGAAGTTGTGTTTAGATATTATTAATATAACATTATTGTTGAGGTGGTGTTTTGATGTTTTACCAGTCTGTGAAGTAAAAGATTCGAAAACATTAATGAAATATGATTGAATATAGAAAACAAAATGAACTAAAATAATAAA